CAAAACCCCAGACAATGAACAAGCAGTTAAAAAGTTTGAATCCATGCCGCAGTTAGCAAGTAGCATTGCTTTTGGTTCTACAGTGGTATCGAGGACCGACCGTGCAGTTTCACTGACAGTGTCCTGAATATAAAATGCCTGATAAAATCACAGCCAGCCAGCAAATGTCAGGGTTGGTTCTGCGACGTCCTGTTTAGGATACGCAACTAGTGATCGATCGGTTTGTCTCCTACGGGCTGCTAACTGAAGGTTTGCCATACCTTCCTAATAGCAGATAGTAGATACCCTGTTCAAACGTCCGTCGAAGTAATAATAAGGGACGTAGTACCGGCGACACCAGTCGTATGTACTGTGCACTCCTGTGCGAGTAAGGACAATACGCAACATACTTCATATTATACTTTTATAAAATATATCTCTGTCTCTCTGTAGTCTGTCTGTCTCTCTGTCTCTGTCTGTCTGTCTGTCTCTCTCTCTCTCTCTCTCTCTCTCTCTCTCTCTCTCTCTCTCTCTCTCTCTCTCTCTCTCTCTCTCTCTCTCTCTTGTCCCCCACGCCCACCTTAATGTGCGTGCTTATTTTTCCTGTTGTTACAAACCCGTGTTTCTATTGTAGAAGTTACAGTACATCTTGATGATGCATTGATTTTGTGTTATGCCGGCTACTGTCTCTCCAGTCTCTCTCTCTCTCTCTCTCTCTTTCTATCTCTCTCTCCCCCCCCTCTCTCCTCTCTCTCTCTCTCTCTCTCTCTCTCTCTTTCTTTCTTTCTTTCTCTGTGTGCATACCGGCAACATGCCGTTGTAACTCTTGAAACGATCTCTTGTGGTTGGGTAGAAATGATATTGTGCTTAGCTGTCACGCCCATGTTGCACTGTTCTGTCTCACTAATTATGGTGTACACTGCAGTGCTCTAATGTAATGTGTAGTTGTATCAGGTTTGATACGCCGTCGCCATTATACTGTGGCGTTTCAGACAGCGTGTGCCATCAGGAAGATCACCCATCCCAGACGACCATTGCTGCCACCTGACAGAACAGCAGACTGGATGTGATCTTATCCTGTTTAAGCTATTCGACCAAACCATCCTAATATGTATTTATGCCTCTCCGTCCTGTTCCATCCCTGTAACATTTTCTCTGTCTGCCCCCACCCCCTTTATCCGCCTTTCTCCCACTCTCTGTCTCTTCCACTCCTTCTCTGTTTTCTCTCCCCCTCTCCCCGCATCTTTGTACTGAAGTTTTTGACAATGAAATACCTGTTACTTGTGGATAAAACGACCGTCACATGTTTATCATCGGACAATCTGGTAATCTTAGTTTCAGCTTCATAGCAAACGTGTCACCCCATGGTTGCTCCACTCCTGTGCCAACGAAAAACACACACCATGTTTATCACAGTCTCTTGTGGAAAGATTGACCGACTGCTGTCTCAGCAAATGCACTAGCATACACACGCATTAAAGCATACGGTAGCTATCCGAAGTGCTAACACAAACAGTCCGACATTGGAAAATTCAGTTCAACCCCATGGTTGCTCCACTCCTGTGCCAACGAAAAACACACACCATGTTTATCACAGTCTCTTGTGGAAAGATTGACCGACTGCTGTCTGCAAATGTAGCATCACACACGCATTGAAAGCATACGGTAGCTATCCGAAGTGCACCAACGACTTTGGATCAGTTCATCGTGTATGGTAGCACTAGTGACTAGCAGAAGTCACCAACAGATCAGCAGTTGCACACGCGATCATTTTTAATCACATAATGGCACCACCAATATTGTGACAACCGGCATCGCGCCATTTTCTGAATCTACAGTTCACACCACTACGTTGGTCACATTCGAAAAACATTCCAAATGAAAACCGCAGCTAACAGTGTCACGCCATGCACTCAACTCTGGGTAACGAAACTATATCCGTCCAGTCTACAAATGGAGCAAAAATGCAACGGCCACCGTCTGGCAGAAGCGAAAATTTCTGCCTCGGCTCAAAACAGTGGCCGTGCCTAGCGTCCATCTGGACCTGAAGCTTTATGTGAGGGTTAATAAACGGTCACCCCAGCAGTACCCTCACTTTTAGCTGGGAAAGGGACTTAGGACATTACATTCTAAACCCGGACTTGCAATAGATAAGTTAGCTACTAAAACTACGCTTGCAAGAACATATCCTGGTGAATGTCAATAAACGGACATGTCTTACAGTTCCTTTTTTTTTGCGTGTTCGCCATATGTAAACTCTTGCTGAAGGCTCTGGTTGTGTCCTTCACAGTCAGCACCCCCCCCCCCCCCCCCCCCCCCCCCCCCCCCCCCCCCCCCCCCCCCCCCCCCAGAAAAAGGGTGTCTACATTGGCATTTATATCGTAGTTTGAAATCAACAACTGTGGAATACAGACAATCAAGAATACATTGCAATATTTAACTCTTTCCTGTTTTTGTAACAGTGGCACTGGCTCTGAAATTTTGACATGTTCCCGTGCACACTGGGCGTCGTATTTGTGCTGTCTTCATTTCATTTGTGTACTGTAGAATAGAAAGTTTACATTATGTTTGCATCATGTGTGTGTTGCTTTAACAACACATTTGCATGATTCCAGTAACGAGTCTGTATGTGTTGTGTGTATTGTAGAGGCACACATTTTTTTTTTTTTAACGTATCCAGAAACCATGAGTTGTAAACCCTTTGGCTCGGTACTATGGATATCGCAACCCTTCGGCATTGATTCCATTGTAGGTACCGTTAATCTGGGAGAAATGTGGCTTTTCTGCCTACCCCCGGGAATGAACCCGGACCACAAGGAGTTCGTCACCCGGCCGCCGCGAAAGTCAGGTTTAACCAACTTCGCTAGAGGCACACATATACACACACCTTCTTCGTGTTCACCGGCTTTTAAACTCCGGCGGAAAGCTCTTGTTGTTCGTCCACTTCTGGACTCAAGTCCTGTTCCAGAAACAGTGTGGCGTGCACATCCGTTTCACAGATGACTCATTTACATGCAAACTGTTGGTTCCTTGCCTCTCAGCTTCGAAGGAAGCTCCCATTTAGTTGACTCTTACGACATGCTTTTGGGCAGGCAGTGGGTCTCTTCTTGTTGTCCCCCACAATGGGGCCCCGGAACCCACACGGGGAACATGTACACACAAACGCAATGCTGACTCGGGAGAGGTCGGGTCACATTAGAGACGGTTTGTGCCACGACAATCTTTGCATGATCCCATTGCTGACCTAGTTATTACTGACAGTGTGCAGGCTGTAGACTTGTAGTCGGCCGTTTATGTATGTGCATGTGTATGTATGAGTGCGGCCTCTGTGCTGTAGAGGTGTGTACACTGTCGGTTCTCCTGAGTTGGCTGATCGTCATGTGATGTCTGTGCTAGATTTAGGTACACGATAAATAATCTGTGTCTGTGTGCCTCACAATATGCTGAGAACTTAACTAATTACTATTTTCAGTGATTTTGCATTTGAAAAACCAAGAAACAACAATGTTTTAAGCTGTACCCTAAAGCCTTTTATAGGGTGTTATAATATTTTTTTTTTTTTTTCTGTAATTTTGCACACATTCTTTATTATTTATTTTAATACAAATTAAACGGCAGTATATTTCCATTATCCAAATATTTCAAAGCCTTTTATATTTTACTGTAATCAGCTGGTACAATTTAAAACGGTAAGGGCCTCCGGGATTTATAAAAACTTTGGGCTCCGTCAAGGCTAAACCGACCTCTTTGTGATTTACACTTAGTTGTTGCTTTACTTATATGACTTGTATGTTCACCGCATGGATTATTCATTGAACTCTGATCCTGTGAATTATTCCTTATGCTGTGTATTGTTTACTTTTGTCCCAACTCGTTTGTTGTTCTAAACAGGTGGCTTATTTATTTGTTCAACTGCTGACTTAACCTGGGTCTTATTTATTGATGTGATTGTATATACACACACCATCTGTAATTTGTTTATTCACTGATAATTGTTCGTTGTATAACTTTTTTTTTTTTGTTACTTTACCTTTTTTTTATGCTATTTGTGGGACTTCTTTATTTATTATGTTCCATGTGTGGTTTTCGTAGCTCCCATTTGGAGGGGGGCGGGGGAGACCCACTGCCTCGTTAACCAGCTTGTGGTAAAAACGTACATTTGAAATTGTTTGTTTTATTCGACAGGCCTAGCTATAGGGCATAATAGATAGTGCCAACGGCACTTTTATTGGTGAACTCTGAGGAAGAAATTAAAATATTTTATTTCATTGTATTACTTTCTATCATTCTACTTTTTTCTGTGAGTGCCGATCATTACATTGTCTGTTTGTTTATTGTATACTTTTTACAGTTTGTTTTTTGTTGTGTGACAGTTTAGCTTGTTATTTTTGTGTGTGACAGTTTAATCGTTATACGATTTGTTCAGCTTGTTATTCTTTGGGTGACAGTTTATTCATTATACGATTTGTTCAACTTGTAATTCATTTGGGTGAAAGTTTATTCGTTATACGATTTGTAAAGCTTGTTATTCTTTATGTGACAGTTTATTCGATGTACGATTTGTACAACTGGTTATTTTTTTTGTGACCAGATGTTTCATTGTGCAAACTGTTTAACTGATACATGAACTCTGTATTTGTCGTGTCCCTTGATGTTCATTTCTTACATTCATTGTGACCAATTAATTGGCTTTTTTGGCCACTTTATTTTTCGAGGATTGGCTAGCCACATGGTTTAGAACTCAGGGCTGTCATGCAGGAGACCCAGGATTGAATCCTTTGTAATGTCGGGGTGTTTTTCTTTTTCTGACGAGGGTAAAAATAAAATCCTTTCCTGCCCAATCCACAGGGACTAGCTTCTCAGGCTCATAGACGACTTTCCCCACCCCCTTTATCACTGAAGTGGCAAATGCAGACAGTATTTGGCAATTGGGAATTCTTTTGTTGTACAACATGTTAATTCGTTACGTTGTGAACCTTTATGTAAACTGATACACTGTAATTGTCTGTATATTCAATCAGGTGAGCTTTGCTACACAGGAAGCCGACATCTTCTATAGCCCACTAAAGACTAGTCCACCAGTTCTAGCTGAGGCTGCAACCTCTAACGGCTTCCCAGCCATGGTCGGGGACATCCAGGAAGCTGTGTCTCTCATGGCAGACCAAGAGCTGGAGGTGACGGTTTCTGTCGAGGGGATGACCTGTATGTCGTGTGTCCGCAACATTGAGAGCACCATCTCCAAGAAACCTGGGGTGAAGAGCATCACGGTTTCCTTGGAGAAGAAGATGGCAACTTTGATCATTGACCCAGCTCAGATTAGCCCAGAAGATGCAGCAGAAGCTATTGATGACATGGGATTTACAGCGAAATTGTTAAGTCCATTCCCATCATCCCCTTCCACAACTCAGGCTGTGACACAAATTCAAATTGAAGGAATGACTTGCCAGTCATGTGTACGGAACATTGAGAATACAATATCTGCAAAACCAGGGATTATCAATATAAAGGTCAGCCTTTCTGGCAAATGTGCCAACGTGACCTTTAACCCTAAAGTAACTAATCCTGCGTCGATAGCAGAACAGATAGATGACATGGGGTTTGAGGCTTCCGTAGACGAGAACTTGTCAGACAATGCTGGATTCAAGTTAAGTAATACTACAAATCTAGAACAGGGAGACACCTTGCTGCAGACTGTGATCAACATTGGTGGAATGACATGCAACTCTTGCGTTCAAACTATTGAAGAGAATTTATCAAAGAATGCGGCTGTTAAAAGTATCAAAGTGTCGCTGGCTGACCAGAATGGAACTGTTGAGTATTTTCCTAATCAGATCACACCAGATAAGCTATGTCAGCTGATCAGCGACATGGGCTTCCATGCTTCATTGCAAGGTATGTTGACTGATTGAATGTGTGGTGTCATATCTTGTCAGTGCAAGGTATGTTGACTGATTGAATGTGTGGTGTCAGTGGCTTGTCCTTGCAAGTTATGTTGACTGATTGAATGTATGGTGTCATATCTTGTCAGTGCAAGGTTGTTGACTGATTGAATGTGTGGTGTCATATCTTGTCAGTGCAAGGTATGTTGACTGATTGAATGTGTGGTGTCATATCTTGTCAGTGCAAGGTATGTTGACTGATTGAATGTGTGGTGTCATATCTTGTCAGTGCAAAGTATGTTGACTGATTGAATGTGTCGTGTCAGTGGCTTGTCATTGCAAGGTTGTTGACTGATTGAATGTGTCATGTCAGTGGCTTGTCATTGCAAGGTATGTTGACTGATTGAATGTGTGGTGTCATATCTTGTCAGTGCAAGGTATGTTGACTGATTGAATGTGTGGTGTCAGTGGCTTGTCCTTGCAAGGTATGGTGACTGATTGAATGTGTCATGTCAGTGGCTTGTCCTTGCAAGGTATGTTGACTGATTGAATGTGTGGTGTCAGTGGCTTGTCCTTGCAAGGTATGTTGACTGATTGAATGTGTGGTGTCAGTGGCTTGTCCTTGCAAGGTATGTTGATTGATTGAATGTGTGGTGTCAGTGGCTTGTCCTTGCAAGGTATGTTGATTGATTGAATGTGTGGTGTCAGTGGCTTGTCATTGCTTATTCTTCTTCCTTTTTTTCTCTCTAACATCTTTGACTGTTTCAGTCGTTGTAGTTATTGTGATTGAAACTTTTGTCTGGAAAGATTGTAAGGTACCAGTATCAGATGAATTGTTTTGGGGCATGTTATGAAGATTAATAAACTTTTAGTTTTTCTTCTTATTTTTCTTCTTCTTTTTTCTTCTTCCCCCCCCCTCCCTTCTCTCTCTCTCTCTCGTTCTCTCTCTCCTCTCGTCCATCTCAACCTCTCTCTCTCTCCTCTCTCTCTCTCTCTCTCTCTCTATATAGTATGTGTATGTATGTATGTGGGTGTATATATATATATATATATATATATATATATATATATATATATATATATATATATAGTATATATATATATATGTATATATATATATAATATATTATATATATATATATATATATATATATGTATGTATGTATGTATGAGGAGGGGGCTTGTATGTAGATGTTTGTGTATATATGTGGGTGTGTATGTACATATGTTTGTTTGTGGATGTATGTATGTGGGTGTGTGTATGTATGTGGGTGTCTATGTATGTATGTGGGTGTCTATGTATGTACATAGTTATGTTTGGGGGTGTATGTGTATATATGTATGTATGTATGTGTTTGTGTATGTATGTGGGTGTGTGTATGTATGTATTGGGGGTGTGTGTGTATGTATGTGGGTGTGTAAGTGAATGGGCGGATGTGTATGTGTGTGTGCGCGCGCGCGAGTGTGCCCTTGCATTGTACCACCCATGCTTTTGTATTTTTTCTTTGTATCATTATATGATCATAACATGCTTTATTAATACACAACTGCTGTGTGAAAGGTAGCTGTTTGGAATTGCCGAATTAAGATGGGCCTGCGTGCCCAGTTTTTAACCCTTTGAAAATAAAGTTTGTTTGTTTATTTGTTCTTTTTTTCTCTTTCTTTTTTTTTCTTTGACTTCCAATTCCATTTCTTCTTCTGGTTCTGTTGTCCTGGTTTTTAATTTTTTATTTCTATTTCATATTTATTATCCGTCAGACATTCACACCTCTAGCTCTCAGAGGGGGCAGTCCATTGTAAATGTCTCTTGCCACCTTCTAGTTTTGTCACCTTCTAGTTTTGCCACCTTCTAGTTTTGTCACCTTCTAGTTTTGTCACCTTCTAGTTTTGTCACCTTCTAGTTTTGTCTCCTTCTAGTTTTGCCACCTTCTAGTTTTGTCACCTTCTGGTTTTGTCACCTTCTAGTTTTGTCACCTTCTAGTTTTGTCACCTTCTGGTTTTGTCACCTTCTAGTTTTGTCACCTTCTAGTTTTCTTTCTCTTGAGCTGGGTATGATATGAGCAAGTATTCTGCATCTCTCATAGACCTGATTTACACTTTATTTCTCCAGTCCATGTGGACATTGTTATCAGTCAGCAGATTCTTTACAGAACATCGCTGTTTTCATGGCATGCCTGAAAGTTTCTCTGTCTCTAGGTAATTCTCCAGCCCTGTGTGCTTTCACAGCCAACACATCTTCAATGTCTTATATCTACATCTGTGTTGAAGTTGATGTTTAGTAGTGTTTTATGTGTCTGCCTCTGTGTTGAAGTTGATGTTTAGTAGTGTTTTATGTGTCTGCCTCTGTGTTGAAGTTGATGTTTAGTGGTGTTTTATGTGTCTACCTCTGTGTTAAAGTTGATGTTTAGTGGTATTTTATGTGTCTACCTCTATGTTGAAGTTGACGTTTAGTGGTATTTTATGTCTACCTCTGCGTAGAAGTTGATGATTACTGGTGTTTTCAGTAACTTTTCTTTTTTACCTATGAAGTCATTCAGGAGTTGTTTGCTGGTTTGTACACATTTGTCTGTCTGGATGTGTAATTCAAGTGCTGATAATTTAAACAGATTGAAATATCAACCAGATACCATAAATAATTGATAACATTCTAGATATAAATTTACCTGTTGACTGTCAGTGTGATATGTTGGGCCTGTTATCTTAACATCAGTGATAACAGCTGGATCAGATTTAGTCAGTTATCACCATCTGTTATGTGAGGGTATGGTTGAGGGGATATTATTGTCGTCGTCCAGCCATGCAGCACCAAGTTATTCACTCTTTTGTGTCTGAGAATTCTAAAATCAGATGTTCTTCTGCTGAGAGAGACTAAGCACCTACAAAATTGTTTGGCAGAATTGAATTTTAACAAGTTATATTGCTCTGTTTTATTGTTCAGTTATACATATAATTATCAGATTTTCCTCTGGAAAATGTTGGTAGGAGAAGTGTCATTTAGGTTAGCAGCTGTCACGATTAATTTTAGAAAGCATTAAAGTCTTTTCCAGTGTGAAATTGGCTGTCTAATAGCATGGTTGGGAATGATTTCAGTTGATTGGCTGTCTGATAGCCTGATTGGGAATGCTTTCAGTTGATTGGCTGTCTGATAGCCTGGTTGGGAATGCTTTCAGTTGATTGGCTGTCTAATAGCATGGTTGGGAATGCTTTCAGTTGATTGGCTGTCTAATAGCATGGTTGGGAATGCTTTCAGTTGATTGGCTGTCTGATAGCCTGATTGGGAATGCTATCAGCTTTTAGTTGATTTTCTATAGCTGTCACTCAGTTAGTCTCTGATAATTTAGTCCTATCCAATTCTTGATGCTGTCATTCCAGGTTCTTCTTTGCCTCCCACTTCTTCACTCCCAGCACACCCTCATGTTTCTTGAAGTATATATAATCTTCACAATCAAGTCACGTCACGTCTCGCTATTTGTGCGAACCAGACTAGCTTACGACATTTCACCACTGCCAGAAGAGGCTGCTGATGCTAATGTGTTAGTTTTGATCTCTTACATCTCTGTCAGGGAGCCACTGTGGTGAAGCAGCTAGATGCTTGCCTGCAGATCTAGAGGTCATAGGCTCGGGTCCTGAAGGAGCCTGACTTTTCAACAACAAAAAAGACCTAAGCTCCCAGGTCGACTCAGCCTTGGGTGGGTACCTGAGAAGAAAAGGCACATCACCCACTGAGCGCTGATCGGTCCATAAAATATAGATCTAGCCCTATATGCCTAATACCCCTGGAAAAAGGTTCTTATTTTTTTTTTTTTTTTACCTACATATCAGTTAGCCAATTTGGCCACACTTAGCCATTCCTAAAAAGTAAATGCAGAAGTCTATCTGAGTGTGAGTAATAATAAAGTTTCAAGTAGGGATACTTTTTTCTGTCATAATATTTGAACCATCTATATGTGAAAGTATCACACTTCTGTTCTTTGAGCAGTCATGACAATTGGATTACTCGCCTCAGCAGTAACATAAATAGAAGGATGGTAATAGTTGTTGTTTGTTCATAAAGATCCACTTCATTCTTCCCTGGGTTTCATTCCTTATTGCTCGACCTGTTTTCCCAGAATGACAAGCTGCCTTCTGAGATCATTGTACAAAACACAGACTCCTTATCTCCACTGTTGAACCATATGGATCTCAAATTTTTTTTAATTTTTGAACTGGATGACATAGTCCATAAAATGAACTGAGGACTTTCAAAGCAAAAGATAAATGGCTTGACTACCTGCCACTGAGACCTCCAGAAAGATGGTAGTGATGCTGTTGATGATATGCTCTGTAGTGAGGTCAGGCTTCATCCTTCACCCCATTTTTCATTATTCATTATCACTTTATTTCATATTGTCTGAACAATCAGGAAAGCCTAGAATCATCCGCTCAATCAGCCAGACAATCATCGATGAGACCTCGTCACCCAGCCCCAACTCTAACAAGATGGAATCCAACAATTCAGAGTTAGAGAAGTGTTACCTGCAGGTCACCGGCATGACTTGTGCTTCCTGTGTTGCCGCCATCGAGAAGAATGTCAAGAAGATGGAAGGTATCATCATTCTATTTGTTTTTTTTCATAGTTATTATCATCTATTTCTGCTGCTTACACGTCATATAAGGCTTGCAGTTTAGGTGCTTTATTTTTAATTCATCCCAAACAAATCAAATCCCGGAGTTCCAAGAAAAGTCCAATATTCTTGGAGTGGGATGGTTTAGGGGTAGTGTTAGTCTGTGTCTCTGAGGCAGTTGGGCCTGACAGTGGTCCTACACCAACCTAAAACACCCCTAGAAAATTAGACTTTCCCAAAAACACTGGGATTTCCTTTGTTTGAGGTGAATTAAAAATAAAGTACAGCAGTTTATTCCTGCATTCCATTATGTCCTGTTCAGTCTTTTCACTATCATAGATGGAATCCAGTTCATCACCTTTGACCTTTTCTTGACCATTGACAGCTAAGAATTACTTGTGAACATCCTCATGTTTCTCAGTCTACTTTCCCCCCATTTCACTGCCTGTTTTGGTGATTCTCTGCTTTCTTCTCCTCCGGTTATGCCCAGTATTGGTATGTTCTTTGTCTTATTGCTGTTGATGATTATCCATATCATTTGTATGCAGCATCGGAGAGGTGCTAACTGATGCAACATCAGGGTAGAAACAAGTCCACATCGTGTAACAGCTTGATCTTGGCATGGACTGCTATTTGTTACATGTTTAGTATATTTGAAACACAGAGCCTGTCCGTGTGGCTTGCAGCACCCCGTTTGTAGGGGGGAAAGAATTGCAGTATATTTTTTCATCCACTTCTGGTCTTTAGTCTTGTTCCTGAAGTTGAAGTTGGGTTTTGCCTGCACATCTGTTTTATAGATCTGTTTTGTTTCCTGTTTAGACTGTTGGTTCCTTGTCTCTGAAATAGATGTACTGTGACTTAAAAGGAAACATCCCTAATTAGTTGACTTGCTTCTTGGGAAAAGAAGTGAGGGGAAGGTGCCTGTTCTTCTCTTCACACCCCCCCCCCCCCCCCCACAATGTGGCCCTCGAACACGCACGTGGAAATACTAGACTAAATAGGTTCCTATTGTGCAGGAGCCTGGGGTGTATGTTGTGTCATCTGTGAGGGTACTGGACCGTGTATATACAGTGCAGGAGCCTGGGGTGTATTGTGTGTCATCTGTGAGGGTACTGGACCGTGTATATACAGTGCAGGGGCCTAGGGTGTATTGTGTGTGATCTGTGAGGGTACTCGACCACGTATATACAGTGCAGGAGCCTAGGGTGTATTGTGTGTCATCTGTGAGGGTACTGGACCGTGTATATACAGTGCAGGAGCCTAGGGTGTATTTTGTGTCATCTGTGAGGGTACTGGACCGTGTATATACAGTGCAGGGGCCTAGGGTGTATTGTGTGTCATCTGTGAGGGTACTGGACCGTGTATATACAGTACAGGGGCCTAGGGTGTATTGTGTGTCATCTGTGAGGGTACTGGACCGTGTATATACAGTGCAGGGGCCTAGGGTGTATTGTGTGTCATCTGTGAGGGTACTGGACCGTGTATATACAGTACAGGGGCCTAGGGTGTATTGTGTGTCATCTGTGAGGGTACTGGACCGTGTATATACAGTGCAGAGGCCTAGAGTGTATTGTGTGTCATCTGTGAGGGTACTGGACCGTGTATATACAGTGCAGGGGCCTGGGGTGTATTGTGTGTCATCTGTGAGGGCACTGGACCGTGTAATTACAGTGCAGTGGCCTAGGGTGTATTGTGTGTCATCTGTGAGGGTACTGGACCGTGTATATACAGTGCAGGGGCCTAGGGAGTATTGTGTGTCATCTGTGAGGGTACTGGACCGTGTATATACAGTGCAGGACAGCTTAACCAGTCCATAGATAACATTAGCTCAAATTACCTCCTCCATTTGTGTCCCCTTAAAAGCTATTTGACATGTTACATTGTGGTTTGTAGCTAGGCGTTGATATCTGCACCTTTTGGCCAGTATATCTAGATTTAGCAATCTCTTATTAGTAGCCACATTAAATGTGTTTTGAGTCACAATACCCATCAACCACCCCACCACCCCCCCCCCTTTTCCTTTTTTAAATTGCCCCAAAATTCACAGGTGGAAGTCAAAATTAGCAGTTGAGGGATTCAATACAATTGGCATTCTTTCCTAAGTGAATATGAGGGCCCCATTATTGGGAAAAAACCCACTGCCTTCCCAAGAAACATGCCCTAAGATTGACTAATTGGGGCCTTTATTTGAAGTGAGAGTACATCTCCTTGAGAGGCAAGGAACCAACAGTCTGCATACAGATGAGGTAGATCTGCACATGACACTCAAGTTCTGGAACAAGAAAAGAGGTAAACAAACAGCCACAATTTTCTGGCAAAGTTTACAGCCAGTGAACTTGAAGAAGAAGAAGAATTGGCAGTCTGCTGCAGAGGACTGAGCACCTGGTGCAGGTCCTAGAGTGTAACTGAATTTCATATGTTCACTGATTGCAAATGACAACTGGGTGACATGTGTTTGCTATAGCAGATGACAACTGAATGTCATGTGTTGACTGATAGCAAATGACAACTGGGTGACATGTGTTTGCTATAGCAGATGACAACTGAATGTCATGTGTTGACTGATAGCAAATGACAACTGGGTGACATGTGTTTGCTATAGCAGATGACAACTGAATGTCATGTGTTGACTGATAGCAAATGACAACTGGGTGACATGTGTTTGCTATAGCAGATGACAACTGAATGTCATGTGTTGACTGATAGCAAATGACAACTGGGTGACATGTGTTTGCTATAGCAGATGACAACTGAATGTCATGTGTTGACTGATAGCAAATGACAACTGGGTGACATGTGTTTGCTATAGCAGATGACAACTGAATGTCATGTGTTGACTGATAGCAAATGACAACTGGGTGACATGTGTTTGCTATAGCAGATGACAACTGAATGTCATGTGTTGACTGATAGCAAATGACAACTGGGTGACATGTGTTTGCTTTAGCAGATGACAACTGAATGTCATGTGTTGACTGATAGCAAATGACACCTCAGTGACATTTATTTACAGGGGTTCACAGTATCATGGTCTCCCTGATGGCGCAGAAGGCAGAGGTGGTCTATGATCCAGCATACGTGTTGCCAGGACAGATAGCAAACAAGATTGAAGATATTGGCTTCAATGCCTCAGTCATGGAAGGAGATGTCTCAGGGCGGGGAACGGTTGAGCTGACAGTGAGTCATTCTTCAATCAGTTTATCAGGAATAATGATTACATTCATAAAGTAATCAGCTAGTTAGTTTGTAATCATACGGTTTTGTGTAGTTAATAATTCATTTATAAAGTAACTTGCTAGCTAGTTTATAATGATATGATTTGTGTAGTTAATCATTCTTCTGTTAGTTGATAATTCAGAAGCTCATAATGAATTCCCCCTTCATCAGTTTATAATGAGTGAAGATTAAATTTATACAGTAACTTTCCAGTTAGTTAATAATGATAGTTTGTTTGGTTAATAATTTTTCTCTTAGTTAATAATGAAGAAACTCATACAGTGAGTTTTCCCTCCATCAAGCTCAAACGGACATTCCCGTTTTTGTGAGGCTGGCATGGTCGGTCAGGACTCACCATTGTTATCCAGTAGATTTATACACAAATTGGATTACAGTTTAATTAATTAGCAACATGACAGACAGTGGGTCTATTCTTTTTTTTCCCTGGAATGGGTCCATGGAACTCACACTGGGAGTTTTTGGATTGTGTTTGATAACTATGTAATCATATTATTTTCTTTTTTAAACTCTCCTGTCCCAAAATCAAGGTCATCTTATACATAGGATCATCTTTTACATAGGATCATCTTATACATAGGATCATCTTATACATAGGATCATCTTATACATAGGATCATCTTATACATAGGATCATCTTATACATAGGATCATCTTATACATAGGATCTTATCATTATATACATAGGATCATCTTATACATAGGATCATCTTATACATAGGATCATCTTATACATAGGATCATCTTATACATAGGATCATCTTATACATAGGATCATCTTATACATAGGATCATCTTATACATAGGATCATCTTATACATAGGATCATCTTATACTTAGGATCATCTTATACATAGGATCATCTTATACATAGGATCATCTTATACATAGGATCATCTTATACATAGGATCATCTTATACATAGGATCATCTTATACATAGGATCATCTTATACATAGGATCATCTTATACTTAGGAAAGTGCAGTAAACTGGCAGATTACTGCAGTCGGCCTGCTCTTCCGTTTCTGTGTATCCTTATTAGTCAGCTTAGGGTAGCGAGAACTATTCAGACGTCTACCTGGTTTATTAGGAACAAATTCATTTGTAGCCGGAATACATCATCAGTTGCACTTAGTTACATAGGTTGCACATCAACAAGTCTGTAGCAGCCTTGAACTTTTCCTTCCAGAACCATCCAAGAATCCAGATAAAATTAAGGTTTCGACCAACTTACTAGTACCCATAATTATGTTTATAACAGTTCAGACAATTCTTTTGGGACAGTTGTAGCCTCATGGGAAGGTTGTGGTGTTGATACCAAACTCACTTCAAGGAAATGTTAATCTATATCAGTGAATGCGGTAACAAATTTATTTAGTAAACTAATTTTTAAGGATTTTTTCATCTGGGCAGTGGGGTGGCAGTACTTGGTTCTAGGTTGTTGTTTTTTTAATCCAAAGGGTTTCTGAGACAAAATGTTTAGGAACATGGCCCAAGCATGGGATTATCTTCTCTTGTCTTGTAATCCACAGATCACAGGAATGACTTGTAGCTCATGCGTCAACCAGATTGAGAGCAACATCAAGAAACGAAAAGGTATTCTTTCTGCCTCAGTAGCCCTGGCTACCAACACGGGAAAGTTCACGTTTAATTCTGAGATCACTGGACCTCGGGATATCATTGAGGCTATCAAGGTGGGTCTAGTATGGTTGTCTTGTGATTTGGGATGATTGAGATAAGTATGATTAACTTGTTATGAGAGATATGTGGATTGTCTATGATGATGGGGGATGAATGGGATAAGTGTGATTGTCTTGTCATTAAGATAAGAGCAATGTGTTGGGTAATGATTGAAGTAGGTATGATTGTGTCATGATAAGGAATGAATAGGATAAGTGTGATTATCTTTTTGAGAGATAAGTGGATTATCTTGTGATGAGAGATAAATGGGATAAGTGTGATTTCTTATGATTGGGGGATGGGTGATGGAGGTAAGTATGATTGTTTTGTGATAAGGAATATATATATATATATATATATATATATATATATATATATATATATATATATATATATATATATATATATATATATATATATATATATATATATATATATATATATATATATATATATATATATATATATATATATACTTGTAATTAAGATAAATTGGTTTGCAAGTTCAAGAAGAATTAATCTGAACAAATTACAATAATTTCCCCACGCTGTGGGGTTGTAAAATCCAGAAGAATTAATCTCAGAAAACTGCTTTGATATCTACAGGTTGTGGAATTTAAAATCCCAGAAAAATTGTTTTTAACAATAAAATATGTTGATATCCCCAGGATATGGGATTTGAAGCTCACCTCAAATCGGACGATGATGAGCGGGCTTCTCGCTATGACCACCGAGACGAGATCAAAAGGTTTGTGTTCATGTACTTTTCTTTCCTGTGTGGGGCTCCCGTGTCCTATTATGGAAAAACTTCTTGTTTTCGTCGTCCGAGTGATGTAAATGCTTTGTGCCTGTTTACAACAGAGCTGCAATGTTTGCACCTTTTAGCCGACACATCCTACTTCATTGAACATTTGTTAACCGGGTTTACTTCCCGGATAGTTTTGCGGGAAAGGGTTATGCTGTGACCTCATTTGTATTATATTCTCTTAGTCCTTTTATCTACAGGTCTTGCCCCTACATCCGCACATAGACAGGTCAGCCCTCAAGGGAATTCAGGATAGAATCAAGGGCATTCCGCACTATCCAAGGAGGCTTCCATAAATGCAGAGCCGAGAGGTGGCACTCCTGATAGGGACACAAGCATAGACCCTCTGCTTTCCCGACAAGCGTGTCGTAAAAGTCGAATAATTTGTGGCTTCCTTCAGTCAGAGAAGCTAGGAACCAACAATGTGCCTGCAAATAAGTCAGATCGTCTGCATAAAAATTATTCAAATCTGTAAACTGGATATGCACACAATACTTAGGTTCTGGAAAAGGCTGAGGTCCAGAGGTTGACAGACAACTAGAATCTTCCGCCAGAGTTTACAGCCAATGAAGGCAAAGAAGAAGATAGACTTCTCTTGCATTGCATCTCTTAGATATTGCCCATCTTTGACCTCCCTCAGATAAAAATTACTGATTTGTTATTGTATTATTCATGATTTTATGAACACTTCTCTTATCCTGCACTTCATTATTTTACATAAACATTTCTCCTGTTCAAATACAAACTCTAAAGGTGTTTTCACTCTAAAATTATCTAGAAAAATTGTGATTATGAAAGTGGTTTTTTTTTTAATTGTTTTTTTTTAATGTGTATATTTTTTTTCAAATTATAGACATCTTTACATAATCTCAATTTTCTACATACCATGTGTAGTGAAAACAGTCTAAAATTAAAACTTTTATTATAGCTTGAATCAGTATACTGGTTATACAGAAAATAGTGAATGTTAATGACTGTATATCAGTGGTCTCCAGGTCACACACCCCTTGAGTATATTGCAAGACACCCCTCCCTCCCTCTTTGAGTATATGGTAATGCCCCTAACATAACGAAATGCAGTTAAAAAGCTGACAGTAGATTTCGCAACAAATGAAACAGACATTATGTAGATATGTTTTGGTCAGAATTAATCTATAAATAAATGCTTTTGTTGTAAAATTAATTAGATTTTTAACTGTAGACGAAGAAAAAGCTGATGAAAGAAACATAAATTACTTGGCTTTTTGTTTTATAAACAGTTGAAACATTTATTTATGTATAATTAAACTGAAAAATAATATAATGGACTATTACAAATACAGACGCACTCAATTTCAAAACTGCTTACCGCTCCCTTGAAACCTGGTCATTTCCCCCCCCCCCCCACCCCCTTCCCCCCATGTTGGGGTCCACTGCTGAATCACATTGTGAATGAGAGCCGCCATAGTGTAGCGGCCAGATGCTCTCCTGCAAATCAGAAGATCGTGGGTTCAAGTACTCTCACAGAGTCTGACGTTTTTTTAAAATGGCCGTGGCTCCCAGGTGAACCCGGTCAGGCAGTTGGCGTGATGCTGACTACATCATGCTGATTACGATTGGTCTGTAAAATGTATGTCTAGCCCTATATGCCTAAAAGCAAGGAATAGGGTTCTTTATTGTTGTTGTTTTTTTTTTTTTAATGTTATTCTGAAAGAGATATTAATTTGCCCACTGATATTTCACTTTGCCATCATATTTACTGTTTGTGTTGCTACTGTCGCAGATGGCGAACCTCATTTCTGTGGTCACTGGTGTTCGGCGCTCCCTCCATGATTGTCATGATGTACATGATGTTTGGCATGGGCGACGACTCCTCACATGACGGCCACAACATGACCCGGAGGAAGACACCGTCACATATACACTACACTCAGATCACCATTGTCCCAGGGTTGGATGTCTTGAACCTGATCATGTTTCTTCTGGCTACCCCAGTTCAGGTGAGGGCAACTTTAGTGTCACTTGCTCAGTTCAGGTGAGGGCAACTTTAGTGTCACTTCCTCAGTTCAGGTGAGGGCAACTTTAGTGTCACTTCCTCAGTTCAGGTAAGGGCAACTTTAGTGTCACTTCCTCAGTTCAGGTGAGGGCAACTTTAGTGTCACTTCCTCAGTTCAGGTGAGGGCAACTTTAGTGTCACTACCTCAGTTCAAGTAGTCAGGTAAGGGCAGCTTTGGTCTCATTACTTGTTCACATAAGGACAACTTTAATATCACTACCTGTTCAGGTAAAGGCATCTTTAGTGTCTCTACCTCAGTCCAGGTAAGGATAACTTTAATGTCATTAACTCAGTCGGGTATGGACAACTTTAATGTCACCAACACTGTTCAAGTAAGGACAACTTTAATGTCACTAACTCTCTTCCGAAAAGGACAGCATTAATGTCACTAACTATGTTTGGGTAAGGACAACTTTAATGTGACTAACTGTTCAGGTAAGGACAATTTTAATGTCACTAACTCTGTTCAGTTTAAGGACAGCATTAATGTCACTAACTCTGTTCGGGTAAGGACAACTTTAATGTTACTAACTCTTATTCCGATAAGGACAGCATTAATGTCACTAACTCTGTTCGGGTAAGGACAACTTTAGTCTCACTTACCCATTTGCAATGGTTGGCTCTTTTTTACATGATAGTGTTATATTGTGCTGTAAGAACATATGTGATGCACATTTGATTATGATGCTAGCAAGACTTGCTCATGTTAAGAACTGTCTTCCACAATTAGTGGTTAGTATATTGATTAAAAAAAAAAAATCTTTATCTGTTTCTGATCACACGTCTGTTCATAATTTATAGTTCATATTACTTTTAGTTAATCGATTTTATCAGTTTTCTTTTCAGTTTGTTCTTTTTATTCAGTTTATTATTTTATTTTTAAATTCTACGCCTGTTGTTTCTGTTTACAGACTTTTCTTTCTGTTTCTGTCCACAGTTTGTCGGGGGCAGATATTTCTACATTCAAGCATACAAGGTCGTCAAACATGGCTCCACTAACATGGACGTCCTGGTCGTTATGGCAACAACAATCTCTTATGCCTACTCCATTGCTGTCGTGGTGGCCGCCATGGTGATGCAGGAGGAGTTCAGTCCGCCGACTTTCTTCGAGACCACGCCCATGCTGATGGTGTTTATCTCCCTTGGCAGGTGGCTGGAGCATATAGCCAAGGTGGGTAGCTTGGTGATGCTTTGTGGCCTGATGAGTTGATGTTTTTCACTCCCTGACTAGGATGACATCATATGTCCTTGTGTGTTTATTGTAGGGCTCCTTTTTTATCTGACACGGCACAACAGTATGCAGTTAGGTTAGTTGCGTATCCTTTACAGGACGTTGCAGAACCAACCCCTGGCTGTTGAGTGGTTTTTTTAGGCAAATTAGGTCCAATAGTTTGCCATTGCTTTCTGGACGGTCGGCTTTCTTGATACTACTGTTGAAACCAACGCAAGGACAGTATGCAGTACTCGCACCATTTTCTAGGCATCATTTTGTGTGTACTGTATTAGACACTTTGTGGTAAGTACCTGTACATATTTTTGTCCTAGAATAAATAAAAGTAAAATAAAGATACCCTTTCATGCCTTAAGGCACACCGGGTATATGGGAAGAGCTCCCATTTTTTTAAAGACTAATCAGCACTAGGTGGGTAATGTGGTCAGCATTACGCCGGCTGTCTTTACTTCCCCAGGACATGCATAATGCTACCTATTTTAGGCTGGGCCGACCTGTGATGCCCCATAAGATGATAAAAATCCATGCAGCCAGCAGTGGGTTTCGATTGCGGTACGTTGGAATTACGAGTCAGACTTGCAACGTCTATGCCATGGGGGGGTGGGGGGGGGGGGGGGTGCTGTTACTAGATTCCATTTGTCATATGTTCCACATAATTGATTCCAGTTGTCATATGTTCCACATAATTGATTCCATGTGTTTTAAATGCCCAGACAATTGATTCCATTTCTATGTTGCCTGTTTTTAACAGGGTAAAACCAGCGAGGCTCTGGCCAAACTCATCTCCCTACAACCCAAGGAGGCAGTGATGGTGGAAGTAGACAAGCAGTTCCAGATCCTCTCGGAGAAGATCATCAGCCTGGACCTCGTCCAGCGAGGGGACATCCTCAAGGTGGTGCCAGGAGGGAAGATCCCAGTGGATGCCAAAGTTGTTTATGGCCACTCGTCCTGCGACGAATCCTTAATTACAGGAGAAAGCATGCCTGTTCCAAAGTCTGTCGGTGCGTTGTTGTTTGATCTTCTCCATGGTCAGGGCTGGAATTTTTTCACGTGGACTTGGACTTCTAGTAATTAGCCCTGGTCTCTGGGTAGTGAGATCGGACGCCTGTGTGTATTGTTGCGCACGTAAAAAATCCCTTGGCAGTTGGAAATCGAAAAGAGTAGCCTAATAATGCTGCCTGGGCAAAATTTGGAGTTAAAAATCTATCCAAAGTATCTCACGATCCTTACCTGTGCACTGTGCTGTGCTGAGTCTAACTCAGACTTGAGTTAGAAGAAGAATGGAGCACTTATGGGTTACTACCCGTGTGCCATGATATTGATCCGTTGTTCAAACCTCAAACCTCCTTATGCATGTCAGTCAGTCAGTAGCCTGTCCTTTGCTGAACCTTGCTCCCATAACAACCTCCCGGAAAGCTTGTAGATCACAAGCAAGATGTCCCGCGTCCGATACACCCATCTGGAGATCATCTGCCACATCCTGCACCCATCTTCTCATTGGCCCTCCTCTTCCTCTCTTCAAAGGCATATAACCCTCCATTATTGTTCTCTCTAAATTTTTGTGACGTTTCAAGTGACCAAAATATTTCAATTTTTAGTGTTTTAGCATCTTTAATAGCCAACCTTCTTCAGTATTCAGTTCTTGAAGTATGGATGCATTTGTTTCTTTTTTTTTTACCCATGATATTCTTAGAACGTGTCTATAAAATTTTGATTCAGAGGCATTTTTGCACTGTTCCTGCATGTTGGTAGAAACCTTAAAATATTTCTTCACTGATTGATGTGTCCTCGTGTATGTTGGTAGAAACCTTAAAATATTACTTTACTGATTGATGTGTCCTCGTGTATGTTGGTAGAAACCTTAAAATATTACTTCACTGATTGATGTGTCCTCGTGTATGTTGGTAGAAACCTTAAAATATTACTTCACTGATTGATGTGTCCTCGTGTATGTTGGTAGAAACCTTAAAATATTACTTTGCTGATTGATGTGTCCTCGTGTATGTTGGTAGAAACCTTAAAATATTACTTCACTGATTGATGTGTCCTCATGTATGTTGGTAGAAACCTTAAAATATTACTTCACTGATTGATGTGTTCTCGTGTATGTTGGTAGAAACCTTAAAATATTACTTCACTGATTGATGTGTCCTCGTGTATGTTGGTAGAAACCTTAAAATATTACTTTTATAAACATGTCTTTTTTATAAGCAGATATTTGGTTTCTGGTCTCTCAGGCAGATGTATTTTGACTTTGAAGACAACTCTCATAATAGGTCTGCTTCTATAACATGTTTGTTAATGTGTATTCCCCGCATTGTTTGATCTGTCCTCATGCTTGTTTCAGAAACATTTAATTGTTCATTGATTTTTGGAATCACTTATGGCTTTTGTTTAAAGGTAGACTCATGTTGTCAGGGTGTGAAATGTTTAGCCATCACATATTCTCAACCATATAGCATAATGATTGTGTGGTGACTTGCTCACCACTTTTCTTTCAGACAGCTTATATGTGCTGGTTTTGTAAGGTTGGTTTAGCCTGGGTTATCTACTGGTTAAGGAAAGGGATTCCCCCCACCCCCACCCAACCCGCTTGGGATCTGACCCAGTAAACTCCTGGTAGGCATGGGCACAAGCCACTATGCTGCAAAGGTGTCTTGTCAGATTCTACGCATGTCTTATAAATTGTCTGTGTCCCCCTTTCTTTCCCCCACCTGGCTGTCTATATGAGTTGAGAATACAGTCTGAACCCCCCCCCCCCCTCTCTCTCTCTCTCTCTCTCTCTCTCTCTCTCTCTCTCTCTCTCTCTCTCTCTCTCTCTCTCTCTCTCATTCTTTCTCTCTTTCTATCTATTTATGAATCTGTCTATCTTTCACTATCTTCTTCACCTTTCCCCCACCTATCTTTTTAGCAGTGTTGAAAATAAAGTCTAATCCTCTCTCTTTCTGTCTGTTCTCCCCCCCCCCCCCCACTCCTTTTCCTCCCTTTTCTTCTCTCTCTTCCCTTCCTCTTACCCCTTCTCTCTCTCTCTCTCTCTTTCTCTCTCTCTCTCTGTCTCTCTCTCTCTCTCTCTCTCTCTCTCTCTCTCTCTCTCTCTCTCTCTCTCTCTCTCTCCCTGTATCCCTCTATCTGTATAACATTTTACATGCCCTGTCTTTCTAGATCTTGATTATGAGCACCTGTAATCTGATATTTTGATGCTGATTCATGAAGTTGAAAGTCATTAGAAATTATCCATTAGTTAACCTGATTTAATGGTAATGCATGGAAACTATTCCACTCTTTCATTGTTCACAACATATGAATTTAGGAAGATAAATATCACACCACAGTTTGTGGATCTCTGTTGGAATTTAATCCCCTGCCTGATGAACCAGCCTCATCTCTCTAGACCATGTTTAGAGAAAAACTTCATAAACTAACATAGATGTGGCTTGGTGACTCAAGCCAGTTACCGATGAACCAGCCTCATCTCTCTAGACCATGTTTAGAGAAAAACTTCATAAACTAACATAGATGTGGCTTGGTGACTCAAGTCAGTTACTGATGAACCAGCCTCATCTCTCTAGACCATGTTTAGAGAAAAACTTCATAAACTAACATAGATGTGGCTTGGTGACTCAAGTCAGTTACTGATGAACCAGCCTTATCTCTCTAGACCATGTTTAGAGAAAAACTTCATAAACTAACATAGATGTGGCTTGGTGACTCAAGCCAGTTACTGATGAACCAGCCTCATCTCTCTCGACCATGTTTAGAGAAAAACTTCATAAACTAACATAGATGTGGCTTGGTGACTCAAGCCAGTATAATGTTTATGAATGCCAGTCTTACATTATTTGTTTGTTCCTTAAAGGTTCGTCTGTGATTGGTGGCAGCATCAACCAGAATGGTATGCTGCTAGTGGAGGCCACATATGTTGGAGCAGACACCACTTTAAGCCAGATTGTCAAACTTGTGGAGGAGGCACAGACGTCCAAGGTTTGTTGGCCAGGACTTCCTCACACTTGCTGCCACATATTGTTTTGTCACCGCATTTAGTTACTAGTCACAGAGTTCGGTTGATTTCTCATCTTTATCGTCTAGTAGATAAAAACAGGAGTGACTGCAGTCAAGTATACAACTGTGGGAACTTAATCCAATCCCTCTCCATGTTAACAGTTCTGAGCACAGCAGAGAGGGCAGTATCTCTGTCACTGCCATGCAATCTTGCTGTGGTGACCAAACCACACCTTTCTCATAAGCAACTGACTTCATTCATTGTTTATGTGTTCTGAGCCCAACAGGTATCAGTGTTGAGCCTACCTTTGTTGGAAATAATAGTAATTATTTTCATTTATTTTATGTTTTTTTTTTTATTTCAGTGTTTTCTTTTTGTTATTGTTGCTATTTATGAATCATTTGTATTTTATTCCTACTGTTATCATCAACATCAATGTTATTGTTACTATTATATCCATCACTACCATGACTGTGACTCCTGTTTTATTATTACTACTACGACTGTTATAATTATTATTATTACTATTTTTCTTTTTTTATATCATTTATTCGCTCCACATCTTTCCCTCTTCCTATATTTTATAGACATTCATGTGAACCCCCTGTGAGGGGACCATAGTCAGAATAATCTGTCCTTGTAATTGTCCTGGTTTTAATTTGAGAAAGGCTTTGGCCAAAACATCTTGTGTGCTGTATTTGTACGTTGTACCCCTGCCCCTTCAATAAGCTTCATAGTCATAGTTCAATGGATTAATCATCTAGTAGAATTAGTCATCTAGTAGAATTATTCATCTAGTAGAATTATTCATCTAGTAGAATTAATCATCTAGTAGAATTAATCATCTAGTAGAATTATTCATCTAGTAGAATTAATCATCTAGTAGAATTAATCATCTAGTAGAATTATTCATCTAGTAGAATTAATAATCATCTAGTAAAATCCATCATCTGGTAGAATCAGTAATCTAGTAGAATCAATCTAGTAGAATCAGTCATCTAGTAAAATTGATCAGCTAGTAGAATTGATTATCTAGTAGAGAAGGATGTGGAATGTGACTAATCCTTAATGACAATATAATTTACACTTGGGAGCTGCAGTAGAATAGTGGCCTATGCTTGCCTGTTGGCTCAAATGTTTTATGTTTAAATCTGCATTATGATGGATTTTTGGGGTGAACTGGAGATCCCAGGTCAACCCAGTTCAAAATGGGCACCACGAAATATCCCATGAAGAAAAGGGCTGAAGCAAAGTTGACCTCATTGCCTGTTGAGTGACAGCTGTAGTGGACCTAGTCTCATTTGCCCAATGTGCCACTGGTGTGGAAAGCTCCATTACTTACTATCTGACACTGTGTATCTCAAACACACTTTGCACTCATAGACTTTTCACACACTAGAGAGGATGACATTAATTTATATGGGGAAATATTTTGAATAAATGGATGAATGAATCAGAAATTGACATCAATGCACTTGGGAATTTCCCACTTGTGCTCTACTTCTTCCTTAGTAGCCAACGAAAATTCAACATATTGATAGTACCAGTTGCAACCTGATTTCAAGTCCACCTATGTTTCCCCCTAATGATGATAATTTTTCAGAACCCCTACTCACACAGGCACAAACATACACGCACGCACACACTCGGCCCGTTGTATTAGTCTTTCAGCGTGTGGGTTCTCTGTTCTGTTCCACTGTCCATTTGATCCCACAGAGCTTTCAACATGTCCACTTTATCATAAAGTAGCTCACTGCCCAGAGGAGTGACAGCAGTCAGTCTATCAGCTTGCTCATTTCCTCACACACACGAATATAATGTAAAGAAAATCCATGATATGCTATGATCTGTTCGTGTTGAATGAGGCTAGGTGGTCACATATATACACAAGCATACTATGTATAGCGGCGTCCGTGGCTAAGGCGTTGCGAGTCCGACTCGTAATCCAACGTACCGCAATCGAAAAACCACTGCGGACTGCGTGGATTTTTATCGTGGTACGGGACGTCGCAGGTCTTCCCAGCCTCACATGGGTACCAGGATGGGATGTCCTGGGAAAGTAAAGACAGCCGGCGTAATGCTGACCACATTACCCACCGAGTGCTGATGGTCTGTAAAAATATGGGCGCTCTTCCGATATGCCCGATACGCCTAAAGGCTTGGAAAGGGATATTTACTTTACTTTACCTATACTATGTATAGAAAACCAGAGAATGAGATCTATTCAGTTCCCAAATGTTATATGTTCTTAATCTGTTCTGATTCCACATGCAGTATATGTTCATGTATTTTCTTTTAATAAAATAAATGTATTGAAATGTTGAGTCACATTTTTGTTTTCAAGGCCCCAATCCAGAACTTAGCGGACAAGATTGCTGGATACTTTGTGCCCATAGTCTCCTTGCTGTCCCTGGTCACTTTGATCGTGTGGGTGGCTATCGGTTATGCAGATATTACACTCATTGAGCCAGATTATGATGTAAGTGTCCTGTGTCAGTCACCTCAGTCATGAGTTATTTTTGTGTCCGAGTGGGTTCTCTCAGTTCTTCTCCTGGAATTTTCCTTATGGAGTAATTCTACATCTGAATCTTCTAAAAAACATTTTGTACTAAGGTTTAAATAAATATTTTTTTTTTTTACTAAGGTCCAGAGGGGCAAGCATTGCTTATGGGGTCCTATGTAATTACTTGTGGGTATGTACTCTATGTCATACAGGTGTTTTGGGAAATGAACAGTCAGACAGGTTGGCTGGTTATGCACCACCTTGTGACTGGACACTGTGGTCTTCGAGCACACCTGTACAAGATAGGCATAAAAGAATCTGCTGCCTGTGATTGTGGAGCAGAAAGACAGACCCCCTGAGCACATACTGCAGTACTGCCCTTACCTCTCCCAGCAAAGACTGGATCTGGCCCAGGGGATCCACATTGCGAGAGAAGCTATGGGGGACCGGTGGCAACCTTAAATGCATAATCCTATTTTAGACCCAGACGGGACTCAGTGTTTAGCATGACTGACGTCGAACGCAGAAGAAGAAGGTGATAATTGGTCATGGCAAGCTAATATTAGAGCATTTTGAGAGTGAGTAAATGGTGTCGAAGCACACATAGGTAGTCACTGTCTGAAGAATATGGTGTGAGAATGGTTCTGCCCATCACTGACAGGAAAGATAAGATGGACATACAGTCATACTGCTACTGGTGCATTCAGAATTGGATCTGTGCATTGCCTGCTGAAGATGGGAACAGAGTACTTATGTTATTTCAGTTCTTCACTCAACACATGAACCCATAGGGATTTCTACACAAAAAATTCCATCTGTTTATCTACAATAAAAAAAAATGTGTTGATAGAAATATTTAAAGATATATAAAGGAGTTATCAGTAAACATAAACAGGGTCAAGCATGTGACCTTTATCACTGAGACTTACAGGAAAAAGTCATTGGGGTCATCAGGAAACCCCTCCGAATACGGTTTTCAGTAACTGTGCTCATATCCTGGCATACTAAACACATCAGCATATTGGACCAGTGGAATTTAAGTACACTTTTCGAGAACGGGTCACTGCAGTCTTCTCGGGGCTAAAGGGTTAAAGAGCATAGTGGCCATATTGTTATCACGTGATTATTGTGAAGCTTTGCATACCAAGGCAGTGGTCCGAGTAGAATGTCCATCTTTTGAAAGACAGTTTTAACTCTGATGTTTGACTATCTGGCATTCAAGTCTTCTGAACTTCAGTGGGCCTGTGCTGCAAAGTCCTCAGTGCCCTCTCCACACCTGATGTGGCGCTTGACATTTGTGGTCCAATTTTTTTTCTGATAGAAAGTATTTTGATGCAATTATAATTGATTAATGACTGTAATTACAGCTGGAAGAACAACTTACACAGTTGTGACTGAAAGAAATAATGTTGTCTTAAATGTCTGTTTCAGCCGGACGACCTCACTCCCCGTGCAGAGATCATCTTTCAGAAAGCTTTCCAGTACGCCATTACTGTGTTGAGCATTGCCTGCCCCTGCGCCCTGGGGCTTGCCACGCCGACTGCAGTAATGGTGGGCACCGGAGTTGGGGCCATTAATGGGATCCTCATCAAGGGGGGAGAACCCCTGGAGCTGACACACAAGGTCAGACAACTGTGTGACTTCCTGGTACTTTCCCGTTCTCTTGTCAGCATTAGTCAAACTTGTAAACCTGCTTGATGAAACATAGACCAAGTATGGTATGGAAATGACTAATAATGCAGCTGGCAGAACTACAGCAACGTACTTTAAAGGTCACAAATTACAAATTAGAACAAGTCCGTCATTTAAGATCTGAGCTAGAGTGCAGACCGGAAATCATGTCTAGGATTTCCCAGACAACATCAGTACTTGCCAAACAGCAAATATTTTTGGAGATCTAAATATATTTTATGTAAAACTAAGCTTTGGCTGCTCATAGTATTATCACATTTATGTATGGCTGTGAAACGGGAGCCTTAACAGCTGAACTTGAAAAGAAGTGATCTTTCCAAAAAAATTTCTAAGCACAGCATACAGAGACCACAACACAAATTTTGAGGTTTGCCGTATAATTGCCCAGCATTTTGGCAACAATGAACCTCTTAACTACAATGAAAATGCAGAAAATGCAATGGTACGGACACGTAATAAGATCTAATGGTTTTTCAAATGCAGGGCTTATTAGACCAAGAAAAACCTGGATACAGAATTTGACTGACTAGACAGGCCTCAGGCATGCAACCGTGAAGTCCATCACATCTGGCCGTCGAAAGTGGAGGGACCTGATCAGACTATCAACAGCAACTGGTGACCCAACGACGCGTAGTGTAACGAGACGACAGGGATAATTATTAGCATTGTTCTACACCTTTAGCCTACAGGGTCCAGCTCTTGATTATGTAACACTTCTTCTTCTTCTTCTTACTGTTCACCTGCTAAAATCTCAGGTAAAAGGTTCTGGTGGTTCCTCCATTTCTGGACTTTTGTCTTGTTGCAAAGCTTGGGATTTGCATGCACATCTAGTTCTTTCACCCTCAGTCACATTTTAAAACATAACAAATTGTTTTGTTGGCATCGTTTTGACAGGACAGCTGACATTGTCTAGCATTTGAGGGAGGGGGGGGAGGAAGGGGGTTGATCTGGGTCCTGTTTACTGTTGTGTCCTTCCTGTGAGACCACAGTGATTTTCCCTGGTTTCCAAGACCAGAACATAGAAGTGGAGTAATGTCTAGATCAGTTGTGTTTTGCTGAAACAAACAGTCAGGCATTCAGTTGACGACTGCACTCATCTCTTCTGTTGTATTCAGTCTCACACTTGTAATTGATCTAGTACATATAGATATTGCAGTGGTGATGTTCTAGACATTTGGGTTCATATGATCATATAGGCTGTTAAGAAGGGAACCAGAGCTAATATGGGCTTGTCCTGAATTCTGTGATGTCAAATCTTTTTCCAGATGAACCCAGAGGTTTATTGATGATTTTTATGTAGGAATTCGATTCATTGGTGGATCCCATGCAGACATTTATTTATGTAGTGATGTCCATATATATTTAGTTAACTGACGACGTACACACACGTTTGCACATACACGCACAAGGGTGTTGATTTGCATTTTCAGCAGATTGTAGTATTTGTGTATTAGATGTTCAGTTCTCATATTTTGAGAACTTACACTGTGTTCTTTAAACCCATTATCTAACATCCTGACTATTAACCCCGGTCTGTGTTTCCCTATCCAGATCAAGGTGATTGTTTTCGACAAGACTGGTACCATCACGCACGGTGTGCCCAGGGTAGCTAGAGTCTCTCTGTTCGTCAAGAGTAAGGATTGCTCTTTCATCAAGTTCCTGGCCGTCGCTGGCACTGCAGAGACCAGTAGTGAACATCCTATAGCCTCGGCAATTCTGAAATATGTGAAAGAGGTCAGTGGTTTTTATTTAGTTTTGGTTGTCATTTATTTATTTTTCACGGAGACATACTTTGTGTGTATAGTGTGTTTCCTCCAAAGTCAGAATGCATCTACCTGACAGGCAAGAAACCAACAGTCTGCATACGGATAAACCATATCTGTAAAATGGATGGGCATGCACCACTCAGTTTTTGGATCAAGACAAAGGTCCAGGCGTGGATGAGCAACCATAAGTTTCTGCCCTAGTTGATAGCCGGTGAACGTGGAAAAGTTTTTCCCTAGACAGTTTGGTAACAGACCACTTTGCATTGATGTTAACAATCACATGAACATCTTACCATTTAGAAGGCAATGTAAAATCGCCCAGCAGAACCACACAGTGTAAAATAAATCCTATGGTTGATTAAAGAAGCAAATACCCATTCTCTCCTTCACCCCCCCCCCCCCCCCCCCCCTCCTCCCATTCTTGGAGCTTTCTAAGACATGTTGTATCTTTTGTTTCCTCAGACGCTGGCTACGGAAAGTTTGGGTAAAGTATCTGACTTTTCCGCTGTCCCGGGTTGTGGGATCAAGTGTAAAGTTTCCCTTGTGGACAACCTGATAAATGGGGTCGACACAGATGCTGTCAACTCTCGGATGAACCAGGTTGGCAGTTTGCGGATACGGATTGACAACCTGATTTTTGGTGACCAGGAAATCCATGGAGATGGAACTAGTGAGTCCGCGGATTTTGTGAAATATAGCGGGGAGCTAGTGAGTCTGCGGATTTTGTGAAATACAGTTGGGTGGGTGGGGGGAGGGAGAAGTGAATCAGTGGATTTTGTGAAATACAGTTGGGTGGGGGGAGGGAGAAGTGAATCAGTGGATTTTGTGAAATACAGTTGGGTGGGGGGAGGGAGAAGTGAATCAGTGGATTTTGTGAAATACAGTTGGGTGGGGGAGGGAGAAGTGAATCAGTGGATTTTGTGAAATACAGTTGGGTGGGGGGAGGGAGAAGTGAATCAGTGGATTTTGTGAAATACAGTTGGGTGGGGGGGGGGGGAGGGAGTTAAGTGAATCAGTGGATTTTGTGAAATACAGTTGGGTGGGGGGGGGGGTGGAGGGAGTTAAGTGAATCAGTGGATTTTGGGAAATACAGTTGGGTGGGGGGAGGTAGTTAAGTGAATCAGTGGATTTTGTGAAATACAGTTGGGGGGGGGGGGGGGGGGAGGGAGTTAAGTGAATCAGTGGATTTTGTGAAATACAGTTGGGTGGGGGGAGGGAGTTAAGTGAATCAGTGGATTTTGTGAAATACAGTTGGGTGGGGGGGGGGGGGGGGAGTTAAGTGAGTCAGCAAATTTTGTGAATACAGTTGGGGGGGGTTAAGTGAGTCAGCATATTTTTGTGAAATACAGTTGAGGGTGGGGGGGGGAGGAGTGTTGAGTGAATCAGTTGATTTTGTGAAATATAGTGGGGGGGGGGGGATCAGTGGATTTTTGTGAAATACTGTTGGATTGGGGAGGGGGGGGAGGAGGGGGAGTTGAGTGAGTCAGCGGATTTTGTAAAATATAGTTAGGTGGGGGGAAATGGAGCTGAGGTAGCGGATTTTGTGAAATATAGCGGGGGAGCTAGTGAATAAGCTGATTTTGTGGGGGAAAAAGCGGTTGAGCTAGTGAGTCAGCGGATTTTGTGAAATGTGGTGGGAGAGCTAATGAGTCAGTGGATTATGTGGAATATAGTCTTGGAACTAGTGAGTCAGTAGATTGTGTAAAATAAAGTGGGGAAACTAGTGAGTCAGTAGATTGTGTAAAATAAAGTGGGGAAACTAGTGAGTCAGTAGATTGTGTAAAATAAAGTGGGGAAACTAGTGAGTCAGTAGATTGTGTAAAATAAAGTGGGGAAACTAGTGAGTCAGTAGATTGTGTAAAATAAAGTGGGGAAACTAGTGAGTCAGTAGATTGTGTAAAATAAACTGGGGGAACTAGTGAGTCAGTAGATTGTGTAAAATAAAGTGGGGAAACTAGTGAGTCAGTAGATTGTGTAAAATAAAGTGGGGAAACTAGTGAGTCAGTAGATTGTGTAAAATAAAGTGGGGAAACTAGTGAGTCAGTAGATTGTGTAAAATAAAGTGGGAGAACTAGTGAGTCAGTAGATTGTGTAAAATAAACTGGGGGAACTAGTGAGTCAGTAGATTGTGTAAAATAAAGTGGGAGAACTAGTGAGTCAGTAGATTGTGTAAAATAAAGTGGGAGAACTAGTGAGTCAGTAGATTGTGTAAAATAAAGTGGGGAAACTAGTGAGTCAGTAGATTGTGTAAAATAAAGTGGGAGAACTAGTGAGTCAGTAGATTGTGTAAAATAAAGTGGGAGAACTAGTGACTCAGTAGATTGTGTAAAATAAAGTGGGGAAACTAGTGAGTCAGTAGATTGTGTAAAATAAACTGGGGGAACTAGTGACTCAGTAGATTGTGTAAAATAAACTGGGGGAACTAGTGACTCAGTAGATTGTGTAAAATAAACTGGGGGAACTAATGAGTCAGTAGATTGTGTAAAATAAAGTGGGAGAACTAGTGAGTCAGTAGATTGTGTAAAATAAAGTGGGAGAACTAGTGAGTCAGTAGATTGTGTAAAATAAAGTGGGGAAACTAGTGAGTCAGTAGATTGTGTAAAATAAAGTGGGAGAACTAGTGAGTCAGTAGATTGTGTAAAATAAAGTGGGAGAACTAGTGACTCAGTAGATTGTGTAAAATTAAGTGGGGAAACTAGTGAGTCAGTAGATTGTGTAAAATAAACTGGGGGAACTAGTGACTCAGTAGATTGTGTAAAATAAACTGGGGGAACTAGTGACTCAGTAGATTGTGTAAAATAAACTGGGGGAACTAATGAGTCAGTAGATTGTGTAAAATAAAGTGGGAGAACTAGTGAGTCAGTAGATTGTGTAAAATAAACTGGGGGAACAGTTCCCTCATGTTGTGGCGACCCTTTAATACAGTTGCCTCATGTTGTGGCGATCCTTTAATACAGTTCCCTCATGTTGTGGTGACCCTCTAATACAGTTCCCTCATGTTGTGGCGACCCTTTAATACAGTTCCCACATGTTGTGGTGACCCTTTAATACAGTTTCCTCATGTTGTGGTGACCCTTTAATACAGCTCCCTCATGTTGTGGCAACTCTTTAATACAGTTCCCTCATGTTGTGGTGACCCTTTAATACAGTTCCCTCATGTTGTGGTGACCCTTTAATACAGCTCCCTCATGTTGTGGCAACCCTTTAATACAGTTCCCTCATGTTGTGGCAACCCTTTAATACAGTTCCCTCATGTTGTGGCAACCCTTTAATACAGTTCCCTTATGTTGTGGCAACCCTTTAATACAGTTCCCCCAAGTTGTATCGACCCCCAAATAATTATTTTCCTTTATAACTTCAATAAATTTGTGTTTTTTGATGGCCTTGGGCGACTTCTGTGAAAGGGGTTGTTTAACCCAGAAGAGGATCGCGGCCGGCAGGTTGAGAACCACTGAATTAGATACTAAAGTTACAGCATTTTAATTGTGTGCCGTGACTTTGGATTTTCAGACCTGCTGTTGGGAGCCCAGGCGTCACAGAGCTTTGATGTCCTCATCGGCAATCGTGAGTGGATGCACAGAAACGGCATGACTGTCACTGATACAATGGATGAGGTCATGGCCGAGCATGAGATGCAGGGTCACACGGCAGTACTGGTTGCTATTGATGGTAAGTTGGCCGACCTTCCTGTGGAGACTTCGTCTTCTTCATTTGTTTGAGTGACCTAATTGTGTTGTGCCTGTTTACAACAGAGCTGCGATATTTGCACCCATTGGTTGACATCTGATTTAGCCAGCATTTGTTAGCTTTTCGGTATTGTTTCATGGTACTTGGTGTAGCCTTATTTGTGGTGTCCTCTTTGTCCCTTTATCTACAGAAATTGCCCCTTGAGAACCCACCCAGGGCAACCTAGACTGGTTGGCCCTCATGGGAAGACGGGTAGATCGCACATAATCCCCACCATCCAGGGTGGCTTCCAAAAACGCAGAACGGATGCTTGAGGATCTTGTCCCAGGTTAACCCATCACATACTGCACGTGCCTGCTTAACCTCACACTTGGATGCTGATTTTTTTATTTTTTTTTTGTTTTACCAGATATCGTTAGCTTATTGTTATGATTCTTGTCCAACTTTGTTGGTGACAAAATATTCCTCATTGGGGTTTCAAGACAAGACTCCAGTGGGGGGAGGGGGAGACGCCCCCACCCACCCTCCCCTTCAAACCCCCCTTAACAAGCGCGTAGTCTAAGTTAACTAATTAGGGATGTTTCCTTTTAAGTTGGAGTGCATCTGCCTTAGATGTAAGAAACCAACAGCCTGCATACAAATAAGCCTGATCTGTAAAATGAATATGCACTCAAAACTCAAGTTCTCTCACAAAATTAAAGTCCACAGGTGGATGAACAACCAGAACTTTAGGAAGCTGCAGGTGATTTGACGGCAGATCATCTTGCATTGGTTTCGACAGCGGTGCCCAGAGCTGACCATTCATAATACAATGGCAAACAACTGGACGTAAAATTTGCCTAGAAAAACCACAACAGCCACACAAAAATGTGTGGGTTGGTTCTGCAATGCCCTGTAAAAGATGCGCAACTGACTGACTAATTTATTGATTTGATTGACATAGGCTGCATCATCGGGATGATGGCCGTGGCTGACACAGTCAAACCAGAGGCTCACCTGGCAGTTCATGAGCTGAAGAAAATGGGTCTAGAAGTCATTCTGCTGACTGGAGACAACAGGAAGACTGCTAAAGCTATCGCCAGACAGGTAATCATTCTGAGTTCAGTGTTCAGCTGCTTCCTGTGCTGCGTCTGTGAGGTATCCATTGCTGTGTCTCTGTGAGGTATCCATTGCTGTGTCTCTGTGAGGTATCCATTGCTGTGTCTCTGTGAGGTATCCATTGCTGCGTCTCTGTGAGGTATCCAGTGCTGCGTCTGTGTGAGGTATCCATTGATGTGTCTCTGTGAGGTATCCATTGCTGCGTCTCTGTGAGGTATCCAGTGCTGCGTCTGTGTGAGGTATCCATTGCTGCGTCTCTGTGAGGTATCCGGTGTCATCTAGTTTCTACTGGCTACTTTATAGTTGAAACATCATCTTGTTAGTCAGTATGAAGATGGAGTGAATTTACCTGATTGTATAACTCTGTCATCTTCTGTTTTCGGCATTTCTCTTTAGTTCCCCTAAGTCACACCCCTGTCGCCCTGAGAAGCTGTGAAACCGACCCTTCCGGTTAGATAAAGTTCGCCATTAATTTCATGTTTCTGATTTGCCTTTAGTGGTCTGTTTACAGGTAATTCTACTGACTATTTTCCTGCCTGTTTAAACATTTAGGAGATCAGGATATTGATACATTAACTAGAGGTTTGAGGGAGCACGGGTGTGTCTTTTGAATCAAGCAGTTTTTTTTTTTTTTTTTAAGGCCAAGTTGAGGTCATATTATTTCAACTCTGGTGATAAAGTCACAGGGTCATTGCGTGGGCCACCAGATACATGTTTCCTTTGGACTAAGCATTCAGGGTTTGCAGTAGTAAACTTTTACGTCTCATCCTGGAACTAAGACTTTTATTTTTCCAAATAAGTCTTTAAAAAACTATATTTAAGGCTTGGTGATTGTCTTACAGTTTTGTTTTATCCTATGTGGTTCAGTCTGCCTCTCCCCCTTCTCTCTTCAAATCCCCCCCATCCCACAACAGCTAGGTAGCTACCAAGAGTTTCACACAACGCAGACATATGTGCTCTCCAGTATTTATCTCTTTGGTTTTTCCCTATTTTTTCATAAAATTGCCAGTTTTCTCAAACGTTTTCAAGTTTGTTTCTTCTCACAGCAGGCCTAAACAAATTGTGTACAGTTTTCATCTGTCTTCTTCTTATAGGGTTTCCTCATGTGATCAAGAAAGGATGGAAATCATTAATCAAATTTTTTGAAAATAGTCCATTATCATTTAATGGTATCCAGTTGTTAAGACAGAGAAGAGGGTGCTATATTGACCATTTCTTGAGAAAAAACGAACAGAGCATCACCAAACAGGCACTGAAATGGGAAATAGAGGGATTTACGAAGTAACGACATCCAAGAGACACCCTAAAGGCAAACATGGCCAACAGTGCCAGACTAGCTTCCATCCATAATATGGAAGAGAAAGCACAGGATAGAATGGAGTGGAGGAATAGACAGCCAGCCCTATAGGTCATATAATGGCACAACAGGACAGTGACCCACTTAATGCTGTTGGAACCTTTCTGTCTGTCCTGACGATGATGTTATGTTGTGGTACAGAGGGGCGTGGAAATCACGGCCTGTGGCGATGGGGAGTGTGACTAGAAAGACCTGCTCACATTAACATGTCTTCCACATTTAGAGCATGTGGCATTTCAGGATCATCCAAGTATCAAATATTTGTTGTATAATTGTTTTTATTTTTTGGTCTGCTTCTTTGTATATCAATCTAGTCTGCTGAGTATTTGTAACCTGGATATCTTCTGCTGATAAATCTCCACGTGTGGCATTTTTTTTTTTTAATCTGCTGGTGTGTTTGTGCTACAGAAACTTAAAGAAAAATTGATATGAATAAATGTCCACAGATTGGAGTCAAAGTCTATGTTCCGGTGTTTCTTTTACAGAAAGTCATGCATTTGAATATGTATAACTCTTCACAGGTTGGGATAAAGAAAGTCTATGCGGAGGTGTTGCCATCACACAAGGTCAAGAAGATCAAGCATCTGCAGGCAACAGGGGTCAAGGTTGCAATGGTAGGAGATGGGGTCAATGACTCCCCAGCCCTAGCCCAGGCCGATGTCGGCATCGCTATAGGAACAGGAACTGATGTGGCCGTGGAGGCGGCGGACATTGTCCTCATTAAGGTTGTTGTTTGTTTTGTATTATTGTATCAGCGATTTTAATGGATGATAGTTGTTATATCATTGTGTCAGCCACTTTATTGGAAACATTTAATGTGTTGGCCGAATGGCAACACAAGCAGTTAATGTATCGGCCTAATGGCAACACAGTTAATATATCGGCCGAATGGCAACACAAACAGTTAATGTATCGGCTGAATGGCAACACAAACAGTTAATGTATCGGCTGAATGGCAACACAAACAGTTAATGTATCGGCTGAATGGCAACACAAACAGTTAATGTATCTGCTGAATGGCAACACAAACAGTTAATGTATCTGCTGAATGGCAACACAAACAGTTAATGTATCGGCTGAATGGCAACACAAACAGTTAATGTATCGGCTGAATGGCAACACAAACAGTTAATGTATCGGCTGAATGGCAACACAAACAGTCAATGTATCGGCTGAATGGCAACACAAACAATTAATGTATATGCTGAATGGTAACACAAACAGTTAATGTATCTGCTGAATGGCAACACAAATTTGGCATCTCTCACCCTTCAGGATCACTCAAATTACAGAGATTTGATTATCACCTGTGTCCTGATCATGTGGGTTCTAGAATCCTGTTGTCAGGTCAACACAAAAGATGGGTGATGTGGTCAGCATCATGCCAGCCACCTTTACTTCCCGGGCCTGCACCTGGTACCCACTTAAGGCTGGGTCAACCAGGAAGTCTACGGTTATTTTTGAAAAAAAGTCCGGCTCCGCCAGGAAGCGGACCCACGACCTTCCAGTCCGCATGGGAGCCACTAGCCGCTATGCCACGGCGACTCCCCGATGAAGAGGTAGAAGATGAAAATAATATCCTCATTTTCCCACTGCCCCCAACAAGTATGTCATAAAAAGTGACTAATTAGGGATTAGGGTTTCACTAAAATCATAAGTGTTGGGTCGAAAGTGACTAATTAGGGATTAAGGTTTCACTAAAATCATAAGTGTTGGGTCAAAAGTGACTAATTAGGGATTAGGGTTTCACTAAAATCATAAGTGTTGGGTCGAAAGTGACTAATTAGGGATTAGAGTTTCACTTAAATCGTATGTGTTGGGTCGAAAGAGTAATTAGGGATTAGGGTTTCACTGAAATCGTAAGAGTTGGGTCAAAAGCAACAGATATTGTAGCTTAGCTGTTAACCACAACAGAACTTGCCAACCATTCTTTTAAAGAGCAAATGCAGAAGAAGAGCATTGTCAGTCAGTGAACCAGCCAAGAATTTTGATTCATGTCAACCAACCAGAAATCACCAGTCAATAGATTAGTAGAGAAGCAGCTGGCCAAATAGTTGGGAATGCTGGGCTATAATACAGAAGGCCCAGGTTCAAATCCTCTGTAAGATTGGGTATTTTTTTGTGTGTCTGTTGGGGGCGAAAATAAAATCCAAACCTGTGCAATATGTGGCGACAGCACTGGTTATGCACCTATTAATCCTCATTCTCAAAGACCACATTGCCTGCATTGCAAAAGTGGTAAATATAGGCAGTAATGGATTTTTTTTTTCTTCAGTAGATTATTATGTTTGCAAATTCCATAACTTAACTAAACTATTATGATCATAAAATATATGGTAGTTTTTTTTTTTTTTATAACTGATCTGCATTAACTGACCACAGAATGACCTGCTGGACGTGTATGCAGCAATCAAACTGTCCCGAATGACTGTCCGGAGAATCCACATCAACTTCCTGTCTGCTTGTATTTATAACATCCTGGGTATTCCAATTGCCGCTGGTAAGTGGTGCTCTGTAGTTGCACACCATTGGTCACCTTACCAGTCATTTACTGCTTCACCAACATCTTGGAAAGGGTCGTATAGTTTTACATATGTGCAGTTTATTAGTTTTGCACTCAATAGTTTCATTGAGAATCCATAATTTTCTAGTTTCATCCACAATTTACACTTCACTAATTACATCAAGAATTCACACTTCACTAATTTCATCAAGAATTCACTAGTTTCATCAATTCACACTTCACTAGTTTCATCAAGAATTCACACTTCACTAGTTATTTCAGGAATTCAGTAGTTTCATCAACAATTCACAGTTGACTAGTTTCATGAAGACTTGATAACCATTTGGTAGTTTACAGTTTTAAAAAAACACCTGATCACAAAACTGTCTGCTTACCTGAACATCTGAAGTATATTTTGTTGTATTACAGGTGTGTTAATGCCAGTTGGCCTTTTGTTGTGTTTATGCAAGTTAATCTTTATTGTGTTAGAGGTGTGTTTATGCCAGTTGGCCTTTTATTGTGTTACAGATGTGTTTATGCCAATTAGCCTGTTGTTCTGTTACAGGTGTGTTTATGCCAATTGGCCTTTTGTTGTGTTACAGGTGTGTTTATTCCAGTTGGCCTTTTGTTGTGTTACAGGTGTGGTAATGCCAGTTGGCCTTTTGTTGTGTTACAGGTGTGTTTATACCAGTTGGCCTTTGTTATGTTACAGGTGTGTTTATGCCAGTTGGTCTTTTGTTGTGTTACAGGTGTGTTTATGCCAGTTGGCCTTTTGTTGTGTTACAGGTGTGGTAATGCCATTTGGCCTTTTGTTATGTTACAGATTGTTGATGCCACTTGGCCTTTGTTGTGTTGCAGATGTGTTTATGCCATTTGGCCTTTTGTTGTGTTTTACAGATGTGTTTTAAGCCAGTTGGCCTTTTGTTGTGTTACAGATGTTTTTATGCCAGTTGGCCTTTTGTTGTGTTGCAGATGTGTTTATGCCAGTTAATCTTTGTTGTGTTAGAGATGTGTTTATGCCAGTTGGCCTTTCGTTGTGTTGCAGGTGTGTTTATGCCAGTTAATCTTTGTTGTGTTAGAGATGTGTTTATGCCAGTTGGCCTTTTGTTGTGTTGCAGATGTGTTTATGCCAGTTAATCTTTGTTGTGTTAGAGATGTGTTTATGCCAGTTGGCCTTTCGTTGTGTTGCAGATGTGTTTATGCCAGTTAATCTTTGTTGTGTTACAGGTGTGTTTATGCTAGTTGGCTTTTTGTTACATTACAGGTGTGTTTATGCCAGTTGTCCTTTTGTTGTGTTACAGGTGTGTTTATGCCAGTTGGCCTTTTGTTGTGTTACAGGTGTGTTTATGCCATTTGTCCTTTTGTTGTGTTGCAGATGTGTTTATGCCAGTTAATCTTTGTTGTGTTACAGGTGTGTTTATGCCAGTTGGCCTTTTGTTGTGTTACAGGTGTGTTTATGCCACTTGGTCTCTCTCTGCGACCCTGGATGGCATCAGCAGCAATGGCCTTGTCCTCAGTTTCTGTCGTTGCGGCATCATTGTTACTTAAAACGTAAGTTATCTGCTTCTGATTTTTTCATGTCACTCACTCTCTTTCACTTTGGTATAAAAAAAAAACTTCATCATATCTGGCAAAACTTGTTTATGCTGAGAGATCATCACATTAAGAAAATTTTCACATTTTGTACAACCTCATATTTAGGAAAACTGCTCTACATTATAATAATATAATAATAATAACAATTATAATAATTGCAGCACTTATGGGTTGCTACCCTTGTGCCATGATGTTGATCTGTCATCTAAACCTTAACCTAAGCTAGATTGTAATGAATATGTTTACAAGGTGTATGTTAAAAATGTTTGTTTTCCAGATCACAACACTGCCTGCTAATGATTCCAATTGTCTGCTGAAATTGTGCAGTAGTAGAATAATTTATTAAGTGTGCTTGAATATTGGGATCTCACAACATGGTGTGGGCTTTTTCTCAAATTGGGAGCCTAGGTATCAGCATTCTCCATTCTAGTGGATCATTTAGATTTATTAATTTATAATTATTGTTGTCATTCATGTGTATAACTAATTGTTTATGAAATATATTTTGGAAGGTGGCATTTACTGGCACTGTCTGAACGGAAGATTAACGGGCTGTGAGATTTTGTAGTACTGTCCTGACTAAAGATTGATAATCTGTAGCACAGTTTAGAACAGAAGATTAACAGTCTGTAGCACTGTTTAAAACAGAAGATTAACAGTCTGTAGCACTGTTTAAAACAGAAGATTAACTGTCTGTAGCACTGTTTAAAACAGAAGATTAACAGTCTGTAGCACTGTTTAAAACAGAAGATTAACTGTCTGTAGCACTGTTTAAAACAGAAGATTAACAGTCTGTAGCACTGTTTAAAACAGAAAATTAACAGTCTGTAGCACTGTTTAAAACAGAAGATTAACTGTCTGTAGCACTGTTTAAAACAGAAGATTAACAGTCTGTAGCACTGTTTAAAACAGAAGATTAACTATCTGTAGCACTGTTTAAAACAGAAGATTAACAGTCTGTAGCACTGTTTAAAACAGAAGATTAACAGTCTGTAGCACTGTTTAAAACAGAAGATTAACTGTCTGTAGCACTGTTTAAAACAGAAGATTAACTGTCTGTAGCACTGTTTAAACAGAAGATTAACAGTCTGTAGCACTGTTTAAACAGAAGATTAACTATCTGTAGACACTGTTTAAAACAGAAGATTAACAGTCTGTAGCACTGTTTAAAACAGAAGATTAACAGTCTGTAGCACTGTTTAAAACAGAAGATTAACTGTCTGTAGCACTGTTTAAAACAGAAGATTAACTGTCTGTAGCACTGTTTAAAACAGAAGATTAACAGTCTGTAGCACTGTTTAAAACAGAAGATTAACTATCTGTAGCACTGTTTAAAACAGAAGGTTAACAGTCTGTAGCACTGTTTAAAACAGAAGGTTAACAGCCTGTAGCACTGTTTAAAACAGAAGGTTAACAGTCTGTAGCACTGTTTAAAACAGAAGGTTAACTTTTTGTAACACTGTCTATACTAAACATTGATAATCTGTGGTACTTTCTATTCTTTAGACTGACAATGTGTGACGCTGTCTAGACTGAAAATTTACATACGGTAACCTGTCGAGACTGAAGATTGACAATCTGTGACACTGTCTTAACTAAAGATTGATGATCTCTGACACTCTAAACTAAAGAGTGATAATCTGTGATACTGTCTAGACTGGAGATTGGACAATCTGTGGTACTGTCTAGACTGGAGATTGACAATCTGTGATACTGTCTAGACTGGAGATTGACAATCTGTGATACTGTCTAGACTGAAGATTGACAATCTGTGATACTGTCTAGACTGAAGATTGACAATCTGTGATACTGTCTAGACTGAAGGTTGACAATCTGTGATACTGTCTAGACTGAAGATTGACAATCTGTGATACTGTCTAGACTGAAGATTGACAATCTGTGATACTGTCTAGACTAAAAATTGACATACAGTAACCTATCAAGACTGAAGATTGACACTGTCTAGACAAAGACTGAGATTTATGACATTGTCAAGATTATTGCAGCATTGCCAGTATAAATAAACCTGTCTTTTTTACATTTGATTGTAGATTCCGAAAACCAACCAAAGAATCCTTGTTGACCCAGGAATACTACAAGTTATATTACCAAGATCAGGATACGGATGACATTTCCTTACATCGAGGAGATGACTGGGAAAATCCACCTAGACAACCACGACAGAACAGCAACAACTCCAAGCTTAGCTGGTTCAAGGGCAAGTCTGCGTCGTCACCTGATCACCGAAGTCTTCTGGACACGGTCGATGATACTGAGTTAGAGATGGGAGTGCTCTGATCTTAGCTCCCACCTTTGACTTTAGCATAAAATATCTGACATCATACCAGACCACTTTCATTCATCCGTTGATTGACTTCCATTACCTGGGGTAGCAGTTGTAGTCTGTTCGCTTTATAGTGTCTATTCTGGGAATAATGACCTTTGACTTCAACATGAAATATCTGACATCATACCAGACCACTTTCATTCATCCGTTGATTGACTTCCATTACCTGGGGTAGCAGTTGTAGTCTGTTCACTTTATAGTTTCTATTCTGGGATTAATGGCCTTTAACTGTGACTGCTGCTAATTCTCCTAGACCTGACAGCGGCAGGCATGGACAAGAATGATTTTCTTCATGAGTCCAGTGTCTAGACAATGGGGCTTTCTCTGCCTTGGGGTCAAGCAATGCAGGAGCTTATTGAATCTTTTCTCTTCAACCCTAGGGTGTAGAGATTCCTGGCAATCTGGCATGATCTTTTCCGCATATAAGGAGTGGCTGGCCGAATTGTTACGAACACTCGGTTTTCAAGCCGAAGAGCTAGATTTAATGCTTGGTAATAAGGCTATAGGTTTTTCTATCGGGAACAAATTAAATCTTTAGCTGCACTACAGTCTGTGGTGACAGCACAAGCCATGTAATCCTAAATCCTCAGGCTTAAAGACCTCCCTGTTTACACCACACACGTGGTAACTAGAGGCAGTTATAAGACAGAGAACATGGTGCTACATGGGAACATATCCTGAGAAGAAACCAGAACAGAATCACCAAACAGGCATTATCATGGGGAATAAAGGATTAGGGAAGCGAGGACGCCCACAAGAAACCCTAAGATGAAGGTTGGCAAGAGAGGCCAAAGCTGCTGGACTGGATTCCATCCATGATATTGAACTGGTTGCACAGGACAGAAGGGGAATAGAGGAAGAGACTGCGAGCCCTATGTGACATGTTAGCTTGTAATCCCCGTCCCCATGTGAGACACAATTTTTCGTTATTTTGAAGACCCACCCTTTTGTTGCCGGGGGCCCTAATATAACCTAGTGGTTGAACAGGGTTTCTGGGACCTCTCATCCGAATGGTGGCAGTTTGTATCACTGGTGTGTCACTGGTGACGTCTTAGTGTCATCTGTGTGAATACAACGTTAAAACATATCAGTGGAATTTCTACCTTGGGGAGCCAGGGATACGTTTTAACCTGGGATGAGATCCGTAACATTCTTATCTTTTCTACCCTGGGATGAGATAAATAACGTTCTTATCTTTTCTACCCTGGGATGGGATACATAACATCCTACCTGTTCTACCCTGGGATGAGATACGCAACATTCTTACCTGTTCTACCCTGGGATGAGTTACTTAACATTCTTACTTGTTCTATCCTGCGATGAGTTACGTAACATTCGGGATGAGTTACTTAACATTCTTACTTGTTCTATCATGTGATGAGTTATGTAACATTCTTACCTGTTTTACCCTGGGATGAGATATGTAACATTCTTACCTGTTTTACCCTGGGATGAGATGCATAACATTCTTACTTTTTCTACCCTGAGATGAGATGCATAACATTCTTACCTGTTTTCTACCCTGGGATGAGATGCATAACATTCTTACTGTTCTACCCTGGGATGAGACACATAACATTCTTACCTCTTCTGCCTATTGTCAGAATAATTAAGCAACCTGTCTAGTCATTCCTCTTTTTCTCTACAGGACACTTCTGTTTTATTTTTCTGCCCTGGGATGTAGTTACCTGAAACGTAACTTAAGCCTCAGTTACAATTTACCTAGCCGTTTCTTTAGCATCAGTAACAACAGGTGCCCTAAACCCAGACCTTGAGAGTAACAGACCTGTCTCCCACAGGGAGAACACCGTAGACCAGTTCGGCTGGAGTGACTTTGCCATGATTGCGTAGGAAGATGGGCCCCAGCCACCCTAGGTGTCATCACTGCTGGGGTGACAAAATACCCCCCCCCCCCCCACCACACACACACACACAATGTGTTTATACATTTTTAATTTAAAATATATTTATGTGACAAAAAAATCGTCAGAATTGGATAACCCCCTCACCTTGCTACACCACTGCAGATACTAGCCATATCACCATAGATACAAAGTAGAAGTTTTACTATGCCACATGTTTTGACAACAAATATTTACAGAAAATGTGTTTTTATTCACTGTGTATATGATTATAATGTTTGCTCATTTATACATGCATATATGAACAGCACTGCTGGCTGCGTGGATTTGCATCATGGTATGGGGCGTCACAGGTCGACCCAGCCTAAAATGGGTACCAGGATGGCTGACCTGGGGAAGTAAAGACGGCTGGCGCAATGCTGAACACATTACCCACCTAGTGCCAATTGGTCTGTAAAACTGGGATGCTCTTCCGTATGCCCGATGCGCTTAATGCCTGAAAAGGGAACTTTACTTACTTTACTATATGAACAACAGTCACGCCCATGCAAGCTTTGAGGCACAGCTGTTCTGCTGAGTTTACTCACTGGCCAAAATGTTGCTCACAGGCCAGATTTGGCCTGCGGGCCGCCAGTTTCTTCAAGGTGTATTAGAAACATATCAGGTCCTTGTTGGTGTGGTATGATGTTAGGACGGCATTGGAAACCTCTTGTTAGGTTCATGATGTTAGGATCACATTGTGAGACTTATGTTAGGTCTATGATGTTAGTACCATATTGGAGACCTCATTTTAGGTTCATGATGTTAGTACCATATTGGAAACCTCTTGTTAGGTCCATGATGTTAGTACCATATTGGAGACCTTATGTTAGGACCACATTGTGAGCCTCATGTTAGGTTCAGGATGTTAGGACCACATTGTGAGCCTCATGTAAGGTTCATGATGTTAGGACCACATTGTGAGCCTCGTGTTAGGTTCATGATGTTAGGACCACATTGTGAGCCTCATGTTAGGTTCATGATGTTAGGACCACATTGTGAGCCTCATGTTAGGTTCATGATGTTAGGACCATATTGGAAACCTCTTGTTAGGTCCATGATGTTAGGACCAAATTAGAGACCTCATGTTAGGTCTATGATGTTAGGATCACATTGTGAGCCTTATGTAAGCAGGTCCATGCTGTTAGGATCACATTGTGAGCCTCATGTTAGGTGCATGATGTTAGGATCACATTCTGAGCCTCATGTTAGGTCCATGATGTTGGGATCATGTTGTGAGCCTTATGTTAGGACTATATTTGTGAGCCTCATATTGGGTGCATGATGTTAGGATCACATTGTGAGCCTCATGTTAGATTCATGATGTTAGGATCACATTGTGAGCCCTTTGTTAGGTCCATGATGTTAGGATGATATTGTGAGCCTTATGTTAGGTTCTTGATGTTAGGATCACATTGTGAGCTTCATGTTAAGGATTTTTGATGTTAGGATCACATTTTGAGCCTCGTGTTAGGTCCATGATGTTAGGATCACATTGTGAGCCTTATGTTAGGTCCATGATGTTAGGATCATATTGTGAGCCTCATGTTAGGTTCTTGATGTTAGGATCATATTGTGAGCCTCATGTTAGGTTCATGATGTTGGAGGATTACATTGTGAGCCTCATGTTAGGTTCTTGATGTTAGGATCATATTGGAAGTCTCACATTAGATCTTTGATGTTAGGGTCACATTGTGAGCCTCATTATAGGTTCTTGATGTTAGGATCACATTGTGAGCCTCATGTTAGATTCATGATGTTAGGATCATATTGTGAGCCTCATGTTAAGTTCTTGATATTAGGATCACATTGTGAGCCTCATGTTAGGTTCATGATGAAGGATCACATTGTGAGCCTCATGTTAAGTTTTTGATGTTAGGATCACATTGTGAGCCTCATGTTAAGTTTTTGATGTTAGGATCACATTGTGAGCCTTATGTTAAGTTCTTGATGTTAGGATAACATTGTGAGCCTCATGTTAGGTTCATGATGTTAGGATCATATTGTGAGCCTCATGTTAGGTTCATGATGTTAGGATCATATTGTGAGCCTCATGTTAGGTTCATGATGTTAGGATCACATTGTGAGCCTCATGTTAGGTTCATGATGTTAGGATCACATTGTGAGCCTCATGTTAGGTTCATGATGTTGGAATCACATTGTGAGCCTTATGTTAGGTTCATGATGTTAGGATCACATTGTGAGCCTCATGTTAGGTTCATGATGTTAGGATCATATTGTGAGCCTCATGTTAGGTTCATGATGTTGGAATCACATTGTGAGCCTTATGTTAGGTTCATGATGTTAGGATCACATTGTGAGCCTCATGTTAGGTTCATGATGTTAGGATCACATTGTGAGCCTCATGTTAGGTGCATGATGTTAGGATCATATTGTGAGCCTCATGTTAGGTTCATGATGTTGGAATCACATTGTGAGCCTCATGTTTGTTAGGGATCACATTGTGAGCCTCATGTTAGGATCACATTGTAAGCCTCATGTTAGGTTCATGATGTTAGGATTGCATTGTGAGTCTCATGTTAGGTTCATGATGTTGGGATCACATTGTGAGCCTCATGTTAGGTTTCATGATGTTAGGATCACACTGTGAGCCTCATGTTAGGTGCATGATGTTAGGATCACATTGTGAGCCTCATGTTAGGTTCTTGATATTAGGATCACATTGGAGCTAGGTATCAGGTTTATACTTGGGGACCACATGTTAGATTCTCTCAGCCAAAGAAAGATAAAGTGACACATGAGTGGTAATAGTGTGATCATTTCTCGAAGTGCCTTGACTTTTGTAGAACTTCAGTGGGGCCAGTTCTGCACAAATAGATCCCCCTTTTCACTCATATGGCATATTGGGCATATAGTGCTAGACCTATATTTTTAATGACTAATCAGGTGGAAATATGGTCAGCCTCATGCCGGTGACTTTTACTTCCCTAGAAATTACCTGGTACCCATTTTAGGCTGTGTCAGCCTGGAGGCAAAAGTCAGTTTTGAGGGAATTCCAATGTGCAGTAATTGTATAACAATGTTGATTA